ATAAATATACTAGATAGATGTCTAAACCAATCATGGAACGCTAAAAGTGTTAAGGTAACCAATTCTTTATTAATCCTTAATTTCCGAACTTGGTAAGTTCTGGTAAATAAATTCGTGAAGATAATTACGAAAGGTTCCTGTTAACCGGCTAGTATTATTTACTGATAAATTATGCAATGTCTGATTCCATTCCTTTAATATTCGTTTATTTCTTTTTCCAGTTACTGGTTTTACAAATAAATGGCAGTACTGATTATCTGTGCCATCTGCGTCTTCAATTATTTGCATCGGCATATTAAAGGATATTTTCACATTGAATAAATCAGGTAAGTAATATCTGAATAATGGCGCTAGAATGTCCTGACTAGTGCATTGAGAGATCATGTCTAAATGTGAAGGTATATAAAAATTTCTTGCATTGCAATAAATTTTAAAAATATTACAAATTGTGTGAAAATCGTATTGGCTTATTCCATTTGGTATGTCCGCATTACCATTTTGTTGTAATTGCTTATCTATACTAACACGTGATTTTAATATTTCATCAAAGCAAAGCCTTGTGATTTGTGCATCCAAACCAAATTTGATAAGTACCCAGTTATAAAAATTCGATGGTAATGAGAGTTTCTTAATTGCAGATTCTGTTATTAATTGTTCGTTTTTTCTTAAATAATAATCAAATGCTTTAGTGAATGCCACTTCGGGATTTTTTGCCATGCTTTTATAGAGAAAATTCCAAACTTGAGGTTTGTTAGAAGTATGCTTAGGTCTTAATGATTCTATTAAACATCGATTTAGAAAATTATCCAAAGAATCTTGTTTTATATATATGAACGATTTCACTAATGTTTCACCGATATCTTCTAATCTATCTTCAAATAAATAAAGAATGCTACCAATAACACCGTAATTTAGTCGAAAACCAAGAACAATTAATTCATTGAGACGTTTATTAATCATTTCATCATTCGGTTGAACCCAATCAGCAGGAGGATTAGGCGGATAAAATATTAAAAGCGCACCCTGCATTACTAGATCATTGACATCATTGCAGATTTCATAATAGCCAATTTCTTTCCATAATAGAACCAAATCTTTGCAGATTAAAATTCCTCGAGCAATTGCGTTTAACTGTCTATTATTTTCGTAACCATCCTTGGGTGGGTACTCTTCGGGAATACCTCGTGTTTTACAAAGAGGATTTAATGGTCTAGGAGGAAACGGGATAAATTTCCTGTTCAGTATTAAATCTTTAATTGCATTAATATTTTTTTGTAAGATGTTTTGAGCATCGCCAATTGAATGAGGACCACCAGAAAGGAAATGAAAAAGCTCCATATCATTTCCTTTTATGCAAAGGTCGTTTATTTTAAATAGTTTTTGAGCCACCGTTAGAAAATATGTTAAAACCGATAATTCCAAATTACTCGCCCAAGGTTTAATAATATTTTTCTTCAATGATCGAATCCGTTCAAGATCGATTTGACCAACATTGTGCGTAATTTTCAACTCAATTAATTTAAGGTCATAACTTCCGTAATGAACAAGAAGTTTTTGTATAAAATATCTCGATAGAATCCCACGTTTTTTAATTATAGCCTCCACGACAGAGATATTAATGAAAGATGGACCCAATCTCACTGCATGGAAGAGAGCATGTGCCCTTCCATACTGGAAGATAATCCATTCCGCTCTTGCGTTTGCATTTTTGGCAATACGCGACCAAGCCTTAGAACTTAACGCCAAATTCTTAGGGCTTTTGACGTACTTAAAGATAATATATTCTATGGCATTTTCGGACTCCACCTCGGAATCCATATATTTACAGAATCACAAAATATTGATATTTATAATTATAATGCTTCTTTCATAGATATCCTAATTAGATATATTAAAAAAAAATCACGGAAAATGGATCTCCAGAATATAATCTGTAAGCAAAATACCATAAAAAATACT